CTCCTGTGCTCTCTGGGTGATGTTCACATGGGTGTAGGCGTTTCCGATCATGCTACGTGGGGCGAGTTGCACAGCGGGGAATAATTTCAGATTCCTTTTTAGACATAGTAATTTATTAGGGTTCCCTCTCGCTGTGTCTGGAAGGTGTAATTGTAGTGAGGCGTGATGTAGAGGGGGCTGAGTAATACAGAGGGTAGAGGGGGGTCCATGTTATCCGCTTGATGACGTGTAGCTTAGCTGGCTTGGCACATACATACAGAATATCTGCACCCAGATCTACTGCCTTCTAGGCCCCTCTCATAAACAGTTACATAAACCAAAACCATAAAATCTATGAACTGGGACTAAATCCACTTAGATTAGCATTACAAAGAAATATTACATTTAGTTGTAGAAGATTACTGTTAAATTCAGTAAAACGAATAAAATGCAAATATTAAAGTGCGGTAACCCAGTGTCACCTAAACATTCTTTTCTTCGGAAGTGCAATAAATGCTTGATCAAATATCCAAATTTAATAAGTTAATGTTTAAGCAAATATCTATCGATACCCATATGATTACAATCATTGTGCATCCCTAATTACAATTATTATTACATAATCACTGCAGCTGGATTGCCAGTTTTAGATCCATGCATCATGATGTTTCACTGCATTCTGTAACTCCTGAGCTCAAGTATTTAAACATTCTATGCTACAAAGAAAGTGTATCAATGCCAAGAACATTTATATGCACACACACAAATCCTTGGTTTCAGATGATGCCATTGTCAGGGAAGAGTTATCTGGCTAAATCCGTGTTTTATGTGTCCACACCTCAGCACGCCCACTGGCTTTGGCACTGAGTTGGGTAGTGGGCACAGCCTCTGGCCCATGCAGGGGCTCACTGTCCCTGGGCCAGGCAGCAGCTGGCCACAGGCATTCCTGGCACCTCCAGGAGGGTCTGATTTCAAGCCCAGTTCTCTCTCTCTCTCTTTCTCTCTCTCTCCCTGAATGCCCGGGGAGGTCTGGTCTACTTCTACTGAAAAATTAGACACATCTGTTCGCCCCGGCAGCTGGTGGGAGGGCTGGGGGTAATTGTCACACCTGATTGGGCACTTAGTGTAGATTAGAGGATCTGATTGGTGGGCCGCAGGGCCTCTGGGTTTGACTGGGTGCTTACTGGCAACTCAGCGCTGTTATTGGTTCTGTCAGCATCACTCATACTAACAGTGAGCTTGATAAATACACCTGCTCAGGGCAGAAACCTTGGGCTGGCTTTACCTGACCAGGAGCTATAAACGCGACTGCATTGATGTTTTTCTGCCTGCATTATTTTCTGCAGTGTATGCTTTTTGACATATACCTAAACATCATCATTCTGTTCTATCATTTGTTACTTTGCCATAAGGGTGTAACGATTTCAATACAGCGTTGAAAAATGAAAAACGTGAAAGTGCATCTCCAATGTGAGGCATCTGGGTGCTTTCTAATAGAGTCGAGTGGGAGGGGTGAGGCTTATGCAGCTTTGTGACTTTTGAGGCGAAAATCAAATCAAATCTTGAGTTCAGAAACAAAAATCACACCAAACCTGAATATCCGTGTAAGGTTTCCTCCCTGCCTTACCATTCTACAAATAAGCTAACGATTCCCCCCATATCAATAGGTTAGATAACATAGATTTCATAGTCTGTTCCCACTATAGTCATTTTCTCCCCATCCAATAACAACAAACATTAGCACACCACGTCCAGGTTGAATAAAAGCTCCACTAATTACCAGCTTATGGTCCAGCTGAGAGCCACTCAACGGCCATCATCTCACAATCCACAGTGTGGTTGCGCTTCTTGTTCTGGTGTGCTGCGAGACACAATCGCATGAAAACTTTCTCACTTCTGTCGAGAGCTGTGCAACCAATGCATCACTGGCCTAGAAAGAGAAATCTCTTATGGCTGAAGTAGTCAGTTCTTTGACATCATATTTCTGAGAGACGAGGATAGGAGCTCATAGCGTCGGCTACGCAGAGACGGAGCCCCAACCACACTAACGAGATGGAATGGAATCCAGCGTTTTCTCATCACTTTAAAGCAATTTCCATCAAACACGTAACTGAGTTTGATTATAAATAATTTTGCATATGATCACAGGATTTGGGGTTCGCCTGTGGTAGGGGCTATTATCTGTTACCATAGAGACCTGCTCAATTCATTATTATTCATTAGCCTTAAGTCCATCAACTGGCAATTCACAAACGAGCAATTCTTACACTGCAAATGGTTTAAAATTAAAGAGGATTAAATTGAGGACCTGAAATGAGCACAGCCAAGAAGCTGTTAACATCCATGCAACAATATACAGCTCAGTATTATCAAAGTGGCCTCTGCTATTCCACTCCAATACAGTGATGCACCTACAACAGGATTACCTTTTTTCTAAGAGCCTTTCAAACACTCAATAACAATGAAAAATGATGTCATGTTGCACGTCATAATTATAGTGCTGCCATATCATTATCATTCTATTAATAATTACTGCAGCTCCGTCACCTGATACCCTGACAGCATCACTGCATGCATCAGCAATCAGAGACGTGGCCACAGCCTTGAGAGCATGTTAGAGTTAAATCTGTAATTTTAACACGCAACCAAAAAATATATCTTAATTCGACCGATTAACAACAGTAGATGATTAACTAGCACATATTTTTAGACCACATTTAGATTTTATCTTCTAAAATGACCCTGTTAATCAAATACAGATTTGATTATAGGTAGTGAAAGGTCAACAGTGGTCAGATGCAGGAACATAATTTGCTTATTAGTGGGATGCATTATCATATTTAGGCGTAGAGGTTGGGAAAACCTCCCTGCTGGTGCCCTGAGTACATTATGAGCGCTGCTCATTATGGAACCATTTATAGATACTGATAACAGTAGCTCCAAAACAATAACTCTTAACGGTGGGGCTTTAAATGACTGCAAAAATGAACTCAAATAATGAAATGCATGGTGTTGTTGGACAGATTTATCATCAGCCTTAGCCCCTCCCTCTCCTTTCATCACCTAAGAGCAGAAGAAAAACAAAAAATTTCAAATTCCTGAACACAACATTTCCTTGAGCACATAACCGCATGTTTAATGAAAACGTTGATGACAGAATGAAGGCATTAATACGCTGGGCCACAACGCTGGTGGTCCAGGACATATTTCTGCCCGCTGTCTGGATGGCAGTACAAGGTTGCGACACAAGGCTGCAGATTTACGGGCAGGTCATGACGAAATGATCACAGTCGCATTGGGAGGTAATAGGATCATCAATAAACTGCAGTATGGGGGGTGTAAAAATAGCATGCGCAAACTGTGTCTGTCTAATTTTGAAAACGCGTTTGTGAAATCTCCCATGAAATTCTCAAAAGATCTTAAAACGGAGGCGACCGAGCAGCGGGCCAGCAGGCTTTTGAGAAAGAAGAAAGAATTCTCAGTAACTTTTTTTTTGGGGGTGGGGGGTGGGGGGTGTATGCAGACAGGAGCAGCTGTTTGTTCAGTGCGAGATGATTTTACACTGCATGACAAAGAGGAAAATAAAGTCTTTTAAAGATGAAAATGCTTTTTGAGTAGCATGGTCCCCAGACAGCTGCAAATCAGCACACAAAGCTTCAGGTGACAAATTTCTTTTCTTTTTTTTATGTGTCATCAGCGTGTGAGACTTTAATTATAGAGCAAAATGATTTTAGTTCTGTACATTCTTGACATCATGACTATCGTTCTTATGTTATTTCACTCACTCTTACAGTCTTACACTTCACATAACTTCATCATAATTCAGAAGGTAAAGGACCTACAATGGCAAATACACACTATGCGCTACACTCTCAGAAATAAAAGGAGTAAACTGTCACTGGGTCGTACCCCTCTGGTCACTGGGGTGGTACCCTCTAGGGTACATCTCAGTACCTTTAGTCAGGGAACACAACTGTACCATAATCCACTGAAATTATATTTTCTAAGTTATATTGTCTCCACACACCCCTCCAGTCTCATCTCCAGGCTTTGTATTGTATTGTTCTGTTTTAAAACATTAGGTTATGAAAGGGTATAAATATGTACTTTTCACCTGGAAAAACATATTTAAGATACAAAATTGGACCTTAAAACCACAGTAGTACCTTTGAGGAAACATTTATATTGTTTGTACCTTGATGAACAAAAAATGACCTGCACAGAATCTTTATTTCTAACAGTGTATGTCTGTATATTGTCTATATAGTATATAGATGCCTCTGCATATAACAAATGCATTCTTGAGTATCTAAGACTGTATCTGTTTAAGCTATAATCAGAATCCAGGGTCAGAAGCCTGAAAAAGAGGTTAGTGGTCATGAACCTAACACCCAGACTCCTTACAGCACAGGTTATCACATATCTAACTGAGAAAGAGCTTCAGTTATACAGTACAGCACAATTCTGTGAAAGGAGAACCCTATTTACATTCAGTCACTAGCAAAAGAAGGCAAGAGTCCGTAGATAATGAAGTCAAATGCGTTTCATTTGGCTAGAATCTGTTCGAGCACACTTCAATGAGTGAACTCTCTGCTGTGTAAATGGCGATGAGGAGATAAAACAAGCTTGGGGCAAGTATATCCTCAACTTCAGAGGAAAATTAAAGGCAGTTGCTGGGGGCCTGTTTGATAAGATGATAGCGAAATGTGCCAGCTGTGAGGAGAGAAAATCGCAGGCAGGAAAGAAAAAAAGTGAGCCGGTTTAAAGGAGCAGAAAAAAAGGAGGAGGAAGCTTTTTGTCGCCTCAGAGATGTGCTGAGTGCGCTGTGTAAGCCCCTTAACTCACTACACTGTAGTATCAGCTACTCTAATCTCTTGAAAGCTATCAAAGAAATCACATTACACTGAGAGTGAGAAAAGTTTCACTGAACAGGTTAGCCTAGCTTAGATGTAGAGCTCTCTCGGTCCTGTCTCAGTCCACTTTTACACGCTTTAGAGGGTCAGAAGGCAAAAGCTCCGTACCTTTCGCAGAATCCACTGGTTCAGGACGAACAAGCTCCACCAGAGCAGCCTCATGGCACCTTCCGAGAGCGACCTCCCTCTGAATATTAGTCCCGTTGGGTGAACATACACCGAGCACGCTCGCCAACAAAAACAGCGGCCAAAGGAACAGACAGAGCACCGCTGTTCGGTTCGTGTGATTTCCCCGTTAAATAGACCCGCGGGAGTGAAGTTACAGTGTCAGGAGAACCGCCGGGGTTCAGCTTCTGAAGTCCTGATAGCGGCTGTCATACACATCCATAGTTGTGCTGACGGTCTGAGGAGCGGAGAAAAGTTGGCGCGTGAGCGGCGGCAACTTGTGGAAAACTGATGTTATCAGCGGCGCGCGAGCTAAAGCCCGCCCCCTCACTGAGAGATGGGCTTTAACAACAAACTGAGTTGGGGTTCTCTCTCTCTCTCTCTCTCTTTCTCTTCTCCTTCCCTCCGTCTTTCTCGCTCTTCTCTGCCCTCTCTCTGTCTCTTTACCCTCCTTTTCTCTCCGTCTCTCTTTCTTTCTCACTCTCTCGGTCGTATTTTCCTCCTTCTCTCACGTTCTTCTCCTTCTGTTTCTCTTCCTCTTTTTCTTCCCTCCTTTATCACGTTCTTTCTATATAGTATGTTCCTCTCTCTCCCCTCTATCCTCTCACTTTTTCTCTTCCCCTTCTCCGTCTCTCTCGCTTTTCTTTAATCTTTTTCTCTCACTCTTTTCTCTCTCAATATCCCTCTTTCTTGCCTTTTCCTCTCTTTCTGTATCTCTTATGGATGCTCCTTTTTTGCCCTCCTTTCTCCTCTCACCGTGTCTTTCTTTCTCTCTCTATCCTCACTCTATTTTCTTTGTCTTGTCCTTTTTGTTTCCATTCTTTTTCTTTCTTTCTTTCTTTCTTTCTTTCTTGTCTTTTGCTCTACATCTTTCTCTTCCCGTCTGTTTTTTTTTTCTTGCTCTCTTCTCTCTCTTTTTCTCTCTGCAGCTCGCGCCACTCACTCAGTTCTCACCTTCGCGTCACGAGGGAGAAAAAGGCGCGAACACAGAAGCAGGTCTGCCGGCATTTGTTTGCTCCATCAGGACAAAGTTTCAGCTGATCGCCTCATTCTGACCACAGAGCAAACAGAGGGTCCATATAAACACCTACTCATCTAAACACGAGGCTTTATCAGTAAATAATGAGTACCAATCTGGAGGGGCTGTAGGACCGTGTTAGACCGCTTACACATTCAGCAGGAGAGAGAGAGAGGAGAGAGAGAGAGAAGTAGTAACTCCAGTAGTAATGCTAAGCGGAACACTCGAGTGAAACGGCTGCTTTAAGGCGGTGGAGGCGCAGATGGATTGGGAGCAGAGATCTCTCTCCATCACCGGCACAGTGAGCCCAAAACTTTTTCACGTTTCCATTTTCATTACGCGCAGACAGGACAGCTCTTCAACGCCCCCTTGCGAACGACGGGCGGAAAATACTCTCTTTTCAGCACAGTGTGAAGCGGAGCTTACGACAGTCATCGGGTAAAATATTACATGAATATATATATATATATATATATATATATATATATATATATATATATATATATATATATATATATATCAACATAAATGGCCCAAAATTACTTGGAAAAATGTCTGGTTCTATAGACTTACATTAAAAGTATGTTTTTTCTTCTCCTGTAAAGTTGGAGATACGAGGTTTTGTTACAACAACAGCGATATGTGTGTGTGTACCGTGCTGGATGGTGCAGATACCTGAGCCCGCGGTGACATGGGAGTGGGGCTGCCCACCCCTCACTGGAGAAGAACCCCCAGCATTGATGCCACAGTCTAAAAGATCAGCTGCCACTGCAGCATAGCCAGGAAACAGCTCACTGCCCTTATTGTTACCGGCTCATCAGTGTCACTGCTATGACCAGGCGTGATCCCTCACACCAAGAGCGGCACACTACCACCTGCAAAGCAACGACTGTGCACTGGGGATGCAGGTGGCTTTAGGTTGGACAAAAACCCAGTTGGGCAGGCGCTGCACGGGCCCACTGCTAAGGCACTCCATGCCAGCTAGGACAGCCTCCGTATGCACAACAAGATGCTATACCATGTGTGGGAGGAGCCGGTGCCAAGGTAGTGTGTGTGGTGGTTGCTGGTGCCATGCAGCCCCAGGAAGGCACTGAAGAGGTTGCAGCAGAGGTTCTACTGGCCAGACTACCACACAGATGTCAAACTGTGCATGCATTGCTGAGACCAGTGCACGGCAAAGAAGGGACCACTGAAGCAGTTGCTTGCCTCGCTTTAGTCTCGCTGCTCTGTTGCGCTGATGGAGAAGGATGTAATGGACATCCTGGGCCCCATGAAAGAGAGACTGTGCTGGGCCAGGAGGCGATATTGTGCCAAGGATGCAGCCCCAAGAGAGGACTGGAGGTGCTGGCTACCAAGAAGTGGGCACGCCGTGGCTCTTGTGCTGGCCGGGACGATGGACAGGCCGGACTCTGTGCAGGCTGTGTGGGATGCCGGGATGGTCGACCCTTCAAGGGGGAACAGTGTGACGCTGCCACTGGACTTAAGGTTTGGTCCAGTTGGATTGGGAGAGCAGAGAGGAGCACGTAGAGGACTCCCAGAATGCTGTTGAATGTGATGAAACATTTGTTTAAAAAATATATTTATTTCATGAGAACTGCATGAACAGCAGCACCAACATTACTCACCAGAGAAACACACCACAATCAGACACAAATGTTTTCAGTAAGGACATATCAGCAGAAAAGATAACAGTTTACTGGAGAGCTTTCTGATTTTTAAAAGAGAAAGTAAACTACTGTGGCATTTGTTGGTGTGGCAAATACATTTGGATTCAGCTAGCACCAAAACTAGCAGGCTGGTCAGATGTTGTCCGCAGCTGGACTGAAATGAAAGCTTTAGGGCAAGTTCTGCCAGGGAGACTCCAATGCTACGTCACTCATTAAATTTATATATTTATAAGTGGTTTAAATATATAGATTTTTGTGGTGTTCTAGTCTCTGTGTGATTATTATCAATTCAGTGATAGTGATTAACACTATACCTCACACACCTCTCAGTAATCAAAATGAAAACTGAGCAACATACAATGAAAAAGTCAGGGTGAATTTTGAGAAATAACTGTCCAGTTATGACACAGATTTGGGAGCATGCACATTCTACTTGAACCTGTTTAACTACATGTTTAACACTCCATGTTAGTTTGTGCCCCGTTCTGCCCTAAATTGGAGAGAAATACATGAATTACACACACTTAAAGAACATGATATTCATGTAGCCTAAAGAAAAATAGAGATTTATCCTCTGTCCATGTTTCAGCACTATGACCCCCTACTCGAGACCACAGTTCAGGCTGAAACTGGCACTGCACATTTAGCTGTGTTATTGTAAAAGCTGTGTTGGCTCCAGCTCTGTCTCACTGAGTCTTTGCCTCGCTCTGTATTGAAAGTGGCAGGTGAGTTTGGTCTTTTGTTTCAGAGGAGCTCTGCCAGGCGCTTTAGCACAAATGAATCAACATGGCTGGAACAAATGAGCCCAATTTTCTCCCACATGTACGCATCATGGCACCCTCCCCCCCGCTTTCCAAGCCAGCGCATACTCATTCAAATACTGTGTCTGGAAAAGGTGTAGATTCTTTAAAACAAAAATGGGTTCACAATGAAGTGCCAAAAACTGGGTTGAAAACGTCAAGGTGGAGTTTAGTGAGAACAGGCCGACTACATAAATTTTGCCCTTTCTCTACATCAAGGAGCTGCTAGGCCTCTTGGGGCCACACTAACTGTAGCTGTGTCAGAACAGGCGAAAAGAAACCTTCAAGTTCAGAGAACAGGAGAACCAAGCTGTCTGTGGCACTTTCATTTATTTTATCATCAGACATGGGTAGAGTAAGCTACAATCATCCTCAAGTAAAAGTACTGTTAGAACGACTCAAGTAGAAGTCAAAGTAGCTAAAACACACCTTGAGTAGGAATGTGAAAGTTTCAGGTTTTACTCAACTCCTTGAGTTTTTGTATTGAACTTCAGAGAAACATCTGGTAACACTTCATTTGGATGGCATTACGTAGATGCTTTGCTGATGCTTGAAGCTTGAAATTATTTTTTTTTGAGGGGAAGGATGTTATTCCCCATTTTAGTCATATCCAATTCCCCCATCACACTATACCACCAGGGCTAGGAGGGCAAATGCAAACACAGGCTTCATCCGAGTCACGTGAAGTGCCACTGCATCTTTTTGAATTGCCACTAACGCAGCATAGTGGGACAGCTGAACAAGCTTGGAGGAGAATGCTAACTGCCAGTTCTGTTACGTCAGCTAACAGACACCTGCTCTGGCCAGCCTCACACTAAGTGATGGGGGTAGAGGGAGGGCCATCCTACCCACCCAGAGAGAGCAAAGCCAATTGTTCTTTTTGGACTCACTGCACTAGTTCAGAGTGGACATTTGTTGGATTCATTCAGAGCATGCGCTGGTTGGATTTCTTTACAACAGACATTGGTTTGCAGCAATTTAGAGTGGGCACTGGGTGGATTAATTTAGAGTGGGCATTGGATTCGTTCAGAGCATGCGCTGGTTGGATTTATTTAGAGCAGGCATTGCTTGCATTCAATTAGAGTGGATTTATTCAGAGTCAGCACTGGGTGGATTCATTTAGAGTGGGCATTGGGTGGATTCTTTTAGAGTGGGCACTGGGTGGATCCGTTCAAAGTAGGCATTGGGTGGATTTATTTACAGTGAGCAGTGGGTGGATCCATTCAGAGTAAGCACTGGGTGGATTCAATCAAAGTGGGCACTGGATCCATTCAGAGTGGGCACTGGGTAGATTCATTCAGAGTGGGCACTGGGTGGGTCCATTCAAAGTGGGCACTGGGTGGATCCATTCAAAGTGGGTATTGGTTTAATTCTTTTTGAGTTGGCAACGAGTGGATTTATTTAGAGCAGGAATGTAAAGAAACTTTCAATATATATTCAACATTTGTGTCTGTCAGTAGAAGAGGAGGTATTTTATTGTTTTTTTATTATATTTTTATTTTGTTTTTGTAC